AACATCTGATCAAGAAAATCAAAGAAGAAATTAAGAATTTTGGTCTCTTCCTGAACATCTAAAAAACCAAGCTCATGTCCACTGCAAGGAATGGAAACAAACACCTAAATAGTAATTAAAGATGAAGAGATAGAATGTGTGGGGAAAAATATACTTTCCTAGAATCGCAGATCACTCAAAGTGGTAAATGTAGCTGAGAAGTAAAACATCAGATTGTACTGGGTTGCACAATAATGATGAACATGAGCCAAATATGGAAAAGCAAGGACATGTGACAATCAAATATCTGGAGCGCATAAGAGCAGACATGTCACTGGAAGGCAAAATCATGAAACAGTGAATCACTTATTTTGCCCATGCCATGCGAGCAAATTTACTGGAAAAAACAGTTACATTTGGAAGAGTTAGTGGTAAAAGGAAACCAGTGGCTGGACACCATCAAAGATGACACCAGCCATAGCATAGAAAAACTCAAAGAAATAGTATAAGATTGGAAGATGTGGAGAGACCTGGCCCATAGAATCACCAAGAGTCAGATACATCTGAATAAATAATGTCATCATCACAAATATTTGAAACTAAATTAACTTAAATTCCTCATCGTTATAACATTCCTTTTGCATGCTCCCTGTTCTGCTTTACTATTCAAGATCATCTTCAGCATGTTGATCACACAGGACATATACAGAGATCCAGTGTAGAACTGTGATCAGATGATGCCATTCCTACAAGGTTCTGTGGTGAAACCTGGTGTTCCTATGTTTTATTGCATGTTGGCGTAATACTTTTCACATATACATGCAGGCATATGTAAATATGCAAAATTACATTGGTAATTGTGTCATTTCAATATTGAAGAATAGCCATCCACATCAAAGTGCGGATGCATGTATTAAATGAAGAAAACAAATATCTAAAGCTATTATAGCCCCGTAAGGCTGCACATATTGAATTTTAATAAGTAGAATTCATTACATGTCATTATAAAAAGTGTTGTGATTATGATTATATCTGTCAGCAGATATGAATGTAATGGAATGATTGCAATGATTAGCTATTTACTTTGTTATGTTCTGTTTTTATTGTTGAATTTGAGAGATAGGGGATGTTCTGCTTGATAGCACAAAATAACTTGTTTATTATTATAGAACTTGCTTTGTGGTATCACTTGCTACTCTATTCAGAGAGTAAAATATATCAAGCAAGCCCTTAGAAGGGAAAAATACTGTTTGCCATCAGCACCATTTCTTCCTTTCCTACCTCCTCCTCTCTTTTAAGTGGTTTTTGTTATCTCTGGTCCTTTCCAAGTCTCCCCCCTCCCCCAATATTCTCTGAATCAAACTTAATTACTGTATATGTAGCTGCCACATCTCCTTTCTCATATTAGTGAAAAAAATCAACTATTTAAACTATTTAAATAGTTAAATTATATCTTCATATACATTTAGTGTTGAATTAGAGTATTAAAGGTTTTTGCTGTGTTATAAATCTATTCGAGTGTCTTGAGGGAAAGGGAAATACTATTTTTTGCCTGAAATTCTAAGCATAGATTCTAGTTGCTTAAGCAATACTGACATCTTTGGATGTATGGCTCCTTTGTTTATATGGTCCATGCCTAGCTTTAGTTAGTGTATTTCATTTTGAACTATTCATTCTTATGACATTGCCTAATGTTTTATTTGAAAGTTCAAAGTAATATTCTTCATCTAGTAACAGATTCCAGTGTAAGCCTATGTATAACAGAGAGAAAGGTAGGACATTTCTTCTAGATAAATGTACATTAAAACCTCTAAGAGTAAATTTTGCAATGTTATTCATTCATTGGTTCCCAAAAGCAGGGGAAAAAAGGTCATGTCAAAATTTGAAAAAGTTTCCATTTTATATGTAGAGAAAAGTTTTCAGAAACAGGTTCAGGAAGTCTCTCTGTAGATGTGCTCTGAATTGCAATCTGTAAAACTCTTTTTTATTAATATTTGTGAATATTAGAAATTCTAGCAAAGTGTGGGAAATGTGTGTACTTGTTCACTGGATTACAAAACAGGCATTACTAACCATCAGCCTATTGTCTGAGCTTGCTGGGAGATATAGTTCAGCAATATCTGAAAGATCTGAGAATTCAAAGCCCAGTTTTATGGATGCATTTGCTGGTGATTAAGAGTCTGTGAGAGAATTAATTGAATTGTCTGGGTTGAGATGTGGATTTTTAGGATCTGGAATTTCAGAAAACTTTACATGATTCAACTATGAAGGCTTTTAAAATTGTAAAATAATGGTAATAGTGGAAACTATTGTATCTTCAAAATAGAACAGATTCCCAACTTTCTTGTAGCATATTGAATTTGGATTATCCTTTGGTCGACAACATTGGACTGCTACAGAGAACATTATTGTGTCTTTACATGCAGGAGATAATAATGTTCTGATCATTAATATCCAGATATAGCCAGTGGTATGGTAGATATAGCCAGGGGGTGGGCTGCTATGGGTTCGGACAGACCCGTAGCTAACGTTATGGCTGGTTGGGCAAACCACGAAATCCCACCCCTGGCTGGCCCTGCCCTCCCTGCCCCTCCCACCCTGCCCCTCCCAGGAGTCTCCACATAGCCCGTTTTGGATGTGAGGTAAGTGCTGGGCCCATGGAGGGACTCGGGAGGGGGAAAAACGGGCATCCCGGAAGTCTGGAAATGGGCCTGTTTCCGGCCTCCAGAGCCTGGGGGAGGCATTTTTTGCCCTTCCAGGCTTCCCCAGGAAAGTCTCCGGAGCCTGGGGTAGGCAAAAACGCCCCCCCCCACCACACTGCAGTGCAGGAGACCTACTAGGCCATGCTTACCATGGCCACACCCACCCAGCAACCAGGCAGAGAACCCGTTGCTGAAATTTTTGAAGCCCACCCCTGGATATAACAGTTGTTGTAATTGAACAAGAATAGTTGTTGTTAAAACTGAATGAGAATATAATTAGAGCATTCCATATTTCTGATCTTTGTTCCACACAAATAAATTTTAGGTTTGGTTGGATGAAATAATTAGGTCGGATCATTACCTAAACTAAGTAACGTCATCAGTGCAGTGAAACATCTACAAGGAAACAACTAAGTTCAGAGAGCACCAGGGACCGCTTATTTCAACCCTGAGCTACAAATATTCTCCTCGATCAAAATGTTGTTATGCCAACATGTTGTGGAACCTAACAAAAGTATTTTTACCCTATTTACCTACAATCTTTTGGACTAGGTGGTATAAAAATTATTATAAATAAATGAAATATTCGGTGTTTATTCCTTGGTGAGGACAGTGGTTTGACTCAAATTACCAAGACTGCTGCATGAGAATTAGATGTTTGACATCAATGCCTAAATGTATTCATTTGTTACATTTTTTTCATACATAGATTTATATGAATGAAAGTGTACTGCTTTTTAAGTCTGTGATTCACAGTAAAAATTAATGCATATTTAGTATTTAATAATTGATGTAGTAGTAGTAGTATCCATGGTATCTAATGCTGTACTTCAGTTGATACACCAATTCCTTTTCTCATTTCCCGAAAGAGTTCAATTACTCTTTAACGTCGTTTTGAAAACTTCCAGTCTTGGGCCTGTCTTTAAAAATTGATTTAAAATTTTAGTTGAAAATCCTGGTTTTTAACATTTAAAGTCAGAAATAACCTAAAGTCAAAACATCTAAGGGGTTGTCTACTCCAATTTGAATCTGCCTACCATAGAGGCTTTTTTTCTGGGTGTCCCTCCTTTGGCAAATTAGTTGTAGTTACTAAAGATTTGTTCAGTTCTTAAATTCTGTCCCCTACAAATTTACTTGGCTTTTTTAGTTAGCTGAAGTTTCAGTTTTGGTGTTGACTGAAATGTTCCTAGCTAGCTTGATTTCTTATTCTACAACATGATATCACACATATACTGTATCACTCAGCATTAATAAACCTTTGTAATCTAAACAATTACTTTTCAGTGTTTGACTTGATTCTGATTCATTTAATTCGGGATAATCAGTTTAGATTAGTATGATTTGTTGTAGGCTGCTTTAGAGGCTCTTATAAATGGAAAATCAGAGTAGACTCATGTTGTCATCTACCAGTTTTGATTATTCATATCAGTTTTACTTGGTATATTTGTATGTGCATTCACGTGTATGCAAAAGGAGTGGGGGGAAGTGACATCTTGATTTTTGATGATGTCCATATTGGGAGTATAAAAGAAAATTTACCAAAATGCACTCAGTTGGAGATGGATAGCAGCATTGATTAGAATTCAGATAACTTAAAGACATATAGGAGGTCTTTAAAGGAAAGTTTGTGCATAAAACAAATAAACATTACAGTGATATCACTAGGATAATTCACTACAATGGTTCTATAATGTCTCAAGATATGTTTAAAGCTCCTGATAGAAAAGCCTAGTATCTTGAGCCACCTAAAATGAGTGATTTTTTTTTTTACTTTTCTCTCATAGCCTTCAGTTGTTTGAGCCTCTTTTTCAAACCTGTTGATACTGCAGTGTCATAAAACTGACTTAATGGGAGGTGAAGTAAAGGTTGATTGGATGTATATTGTAATGAACCTAGCCTGTAAAATCCTCATGAGAGAAATTAGAAATATTGCAGTCATTTATTTATTATAGGTAAGGCAGAAGTGAATTTTCTAAATGGTGATGAGATTTATGATAGATTTTTTAAAAAATGAGAACGTTGAACTAATAGTAGTTTCGACCGCCAATTGCTTACGTATTAGGTAATTAACAAAATAGGATGTCATAATTTTGCACATGTCCTGAAATAGAATCACTAACCACTTCTAACCACACTGAGCTTTTAATAGAAAAAGTGGTTGCTTAATGCTTCCCCACCAGAAATGTTAAGATTAAGTTTGCTATTAGATTGCAGCCAGAATAGTCTACAAACAGGAAGAAACTCTTGCTCTGCTCTCTGCCTATTTTTCCTTGTTTAAGTTGATGTGATAATTCATTGCAGATTTTCTTTCTTTGACAGAGCGCCTACCGCAGAAATGGGATGACTTTTCTGGCTTGCTAATATGGATGTGCCTACAGCAACAGGAAAGACAGTGTTATATTAAGGTGACTTCCCCCCCCCCAAGCCAATTCGGCATTTGCAAGTATACTTGTGAGTGGGCTGGTTTGTTGTGACTATCAACTGGCTGCTTCTGTCTCTCTTTTCCTACCCCCTCAGTCATTATTCCTGATTTCTAAATAACATTTAGCTATTTAATGGTAGGATGTTTGGTATGTTATGGTAAATTGCACAGGTCTGAAGTTTAACCTCCTCCTCAAAATTACTACATTATCAGCCCTCAAGAACAAACTTCAGTGGGCTTTTTGTTAATTTCAACTCACCTTTATATAAAGAATGATAAAAAAAAAAAGCTGTGATGTATTTACATCAAACTGCTAATTGCCTTATTTGTTTTTCCTTATCAGGAAAATAGGTCGAGAAATGTTGATTTTTTAGAAATCTACAAAGCCAATTGTTATTTTGTGTAATTTGGAAACTGATAGAATGACCGGGAACTGTGAAGCAGAAAATAATGTTATTTTAACAATCAATTTAGATATAGCTATATAACATTAGAATTGAACTAAACTATGATATACCAATATTGGTCTTCCAAACTGGATTTTTGAAAAATAGCAATTTCAAAACTATATGCTATAAGAGTCTCCTATGAGTGCAAACAATTGCACCAGCAAGTGATGCTATGCAAAGGTAAGCGTTTCTGGCCCATCTGTGTACCAGATATGAAAAGCACCTGAAGGCAGGACAGGAAGCAATGGATGGAAACTAATCAAGGAGAGAAGCAACCTAGAACTAAGGAGAAATTTTCTGACAGCACAATTAACCAATGGAACAACTTGCCTCCAGAAGTTGGGAATAGCAATAGCACTTAAACTTATATACTGCTTCACAGTGCTTTATAGCCCTTTCTAAGCGGTTTACAGAGTCCATATTGCCCCCAACAATCTGAGTTCTCATTTTATCATCTCAGAAGGACTGAAGGCTAAGTCAACCTTGAGGCTGGTGAGATTTGAACTACCAAACTGCTGGCAGCTGGCGGTCAGCAGAGTAGACTGCAGTACTACATTCTAACCACTGCGCCACCACAGCTTTTACTCTAACACTGGAAGTTTTTAAGAAGAGATTTGTCTCTTCTTAAAAACTTGTCTCAAATGGTGTAGACAAAATTTGTCTGAAATGGTGTAGGGTTTCCTGCCTAAGCAGGGGGTTGGACTAGAAGACCTCCAAGGTCCCTTCCAACTCTGTTATTCTGATTGCTTCATTTTCAGTCAGTCACTTTGCAGAATTGCCTGCTATGGAGAAATCCTATTCTGTGCAGTTCAAGAGCTGGATGAGGCTCTTTCCCTCAGAAAAAAACACAGTCATTTACTGAATCATGCAAAAAGCTGAAGGCAGGGATAATTCTTTGTACTTTGGGATATTATTTGAAAGCCCCTTTCTACACCAAAAATATATATTTGTATTATCCCAATGCAAATGCCTTTCTCACAATAATTATATGAGAAGCGTTTTTCTGTTAAGATAAGCATGCTAGATAGTAAATTGTAATCCTAATTTTTCTGTGGAATGAAAACATGGAAACAGCATTTTGCCATTACATCAAGATTACTTTCTTATTTGTTTTTTCTAGGCTTTCAGTGATTTGTGAATCCATTTATCTGATTTTTTTTTAAAGAAATGACACTACAGCATTCTTTTTTTGAAGCAACTAATGCCTTGTCTTTTCTTCGGTTGGTATGTTACTCAAGAAGGATTCCTTTCAATTGCAAACTAATTTCAGTGTTCTGTTTTTGTCCAAGATCTACACAAGACTATATTCATTTTCATTTTTTATTAAAACTTTAGCAAAGCTTTCACAATTCTATGATGAGGTCTGAATATGGCCATCATTTTTGAATGGGATCTCATGTAATGTTTTCATTAAACCCTGCAGGATGGACTCATTGCCAAAAGTTGCTGCTGTAGAGTTAATCATAAGAGCCAAGGACTTAAAGAGTCCAAATACTGGACATTCACCATAACCAGCCTTATACGGATCAATCTCTTTAGAAGTCAGTGTTTAGATGTGGTTACTTTACTGAATTATTGCAATTGATGTATTCAGTATTATGCTTTCCATAGTGGCATTATTATACTTTAAAAACATTTTTGCATGTCATTTTTCTGGAATTGATCTGATGTTAAAGAACTAAAAATAGTGTATACAGTAAAGAAGAAAACCCATTGCTGATGTTCTGTCTGTGCTTGCTGAAATGTATGATTAAACCTTTCTTTTTATCATGATTTCTTATTTTTTTTGGCATCCATAATGATGGAAAATTATATGCTTGCTGTAAACATCCAGACTTTTTAAAGGACACCAGCATTTATTGTATTTGGTTTCGATCTGCAGGCATATATGCAAAAAGAAAACATTTTAGGCCAAGAATACTGGAATAAAAATTCTTTCTCTAGATGTATCTTTGTTTTTTTTAAAAAAAATGCATAAGCAGAAAAAGCACTGCCATTTATTTCTTACTTTGGTACACTTACAACCCCAGAGAATGAAAAATCAACATATATTTCTCTTAGAAATATGACAGATCATGTTTTTGTTGGTCTGCTGTATATTTGTCTGTCTTGAACAGTCTGACAGGCAATTATTTATAAAATCTAGTTTGTTCAATAAACCCATATAATAACCTTTCTCTTCTCCAAAAAGCAAGAATTATAAGCCAAAACGAAAAAATTGTAAGGAAAACAAGCTACATTTTGTCTCATTTTCTTGGATCAGTTTAGATTTATTCCCAGAATGACTGAATATAGTATAGCTCCTATATTTTCCTATCCCCTTTATTCTTACTTCATATTCTTCCTGTTCCTCCTTCATTTTGAATATTCTTATATTATTTACATTTACATAAATATTTAGATTTTGATTTTCCTCTCCAAAAAGGACATGCTGAAAGAAGGACCCAAAATAAACAAACAGATATAAATTCAATCCACCATTAAAATACAATTACCAAATTAAAAGCAACTTCAGGACAAAATTACAGATGCCAAACTAAATACCAGAATTCCATATTTAAAGAGAAAGTCTCCAATGGTGAACAGAGTTCCCCATACTACCCCTTGCTGTAAGGCAGGGAGACCTCTATTCATATGCTACAGGAGGTAGTGGTGGCCCCAGCAGATGATCTTCTCAAACACCTTCACCTGTCCCCAAACTTCATCAGATGGTGATGGTGCTTCACAAGAGTTATCTGAATAAGTGAATCCTTAAAATGACAATTCCCTGTTCAACCATATCTTGGTAATACAAGTGGGTGTGGGGTAAGAACAATTATTTACAGAAATATATTGCAATATATAGGGGAAACTATGTACAGTATAAACCTGTATAGGGGAAACTCAAGATTGCACTCATTGCATATAGATTAAGAGGGAAAGCCCATGGAAAACAAGCCTGTCTAAATATATGGAATTTTATTTACTCAAAACTTCTCTCATATGTTAGAAGTTGCCTTTCAACTTTAAGGATTTGAATAGAAATTCTTAATTTTTGAACAAAAGTTCCTTTAATTGAAGAATAATTTCTTACTTCCATCCTTGCACACAAGAGTTAGTTTTTCTTTTCTATACACAGCAGCCGAATGTGATGTTCCATCACATTCTCAGGAGGCTGTCCATTGGAAGAAGTCTCTCTAGATTTGGGGGGCTTTGGTCAAAGCAGGATTACTGTGGAAATAATTCCTTTCTGGCAGGCTTCAGATTTAGAAGGGACCACGTTTGCATTAAAACTCTGCCATCAGCCATGTGCCGTTCTCATAAAATATTTTATAGCTTCCTGTCTAGCTCATGCAAAATGTTTCATAGTACATAAACACTTCCAGAGATAATTTGAGGATAGATAGTGGCATTTGTCATTGGTATAACTTCCACATTGAAGGCTATTCTATTACGTTTTATTGGCCAAGTGAATCTTTTTCATTTTTTTTAAGGTTAGGAATCAGGTTGGGCTTTTAAGACGGTACATCTGTACAGAATAGCTACATAGCTAGGAAAACGTGATGGGATGCATTTAATCAATGACTCTTCCAGAGGGCAATAAGCCAACTTTATGCAGCTAAACTATCCTGGATAAATGTAATGTATATTTTGTGGCTTAAGTAAGGCCAGGTGGCCTTTAAAACCAGAAAAAGGCTATGTATCTATTATAACTGTTTATTGTCCCTTAAAATAATGACACTTTTAAAAATTCCATATATTTCACCTATCACAAGACGGCCAGAATTAGACATATAAACTTTCATTAGACATTAATGTGGTAGCAATACAAACAACTCTTTAAAAAACAAAGGATTGTAGATATTGAAATGTTCATACTTCAAGAGCTTGGAGTCATATGAACAAATGGAGAAAGCATGGATTCTGTGGTATACTTATTTCATATTTGTTACTAGGACTACTTACAGAAGACAACAATTGCTAGAAATTATGTACTTCTTTAAAGACCTTATAGTGAACAAATATGGGCATGGAGCGTATCATTTATTCAGAGACTAAATGATGATTTTTTTCCCCCAAATATGAGGTGGTTTCTAGGATCCAAACATTTCAAATGCTTTTCTTCTCTCATACAGAGAGTATAATAAAGGTAAACAATCTTGAATCCAAACAATCCCTTGGAACCTACTTTCAATATCTGAAATCTGATCATTAAAGTGCCTGAACTCTTTTCAGGGTTCTGCATAGCCTAGAAAAAAAGTCACTCATTTACTAAACTATATAATATTTATTAAAATAATAATTTGTAAAATTATAAAAGTTAACATTTTTTCTTTCATACATCATTCATTTCAGTATGAATTAAAAAATTAAAAAATGGAGTCCATTTGATTCACTACATCAACTAAATAGATTGTCTCCATTAAGGGAAACAAAGTGTAAAATTGATGTAGAACATGGGCTGATGACTAAAAGATAATTGATGTCTGAATGCTCCATGAAACTGCTCACATGAACTGATCAATGCACATTAACATGTTTGTCTGAAAGTAGTTTAGCTACTTGGCCTTTGCAAACAGGTTAGCTCAATTTGTGTAAAATCATTTTCCCAAACTGAAGATCAACATATGTTTAATATTGAAATATAGAAGGCAACATTTGGTCAGTCTTCATTGTTCTCGAAAAGCCAAATGGACTTGTCCTAGTGAGCACTAGCAGAACTTTGTGGAATGGATGTCAAGGAAGGCACTTTACCTATTGTGGCATTGCATGAAAGGATGTACATTGCAACAGCAAAAAACATCTGCAGATGAAAACTCTGGATCCTGTAATGGCTGTAAGAACTTGAATGGAAGACCACTATGAAATCCCAGGAGGCTAAACTGGGAAACAAAAACAATTTTGGATGACAGCAAAGTGACAAAACCATTTCCATAAGCTTGTGTTTAAAAAAAACCCTAAATAGACATGCATGGAAATTATCAGAATTCAAAAATGAGATGACTGATAGTTTACCAAACTTGTATAACCTTACAATGATGATGTTTTTCCAAGATATGACATTTTTGATCATCTCCAGTTTTGACATCTTGTGCCAAGAGGGAGTGATGTTGCAGATGGAGGGATTCTGCCCTTCTCTACTTCGTGACAATTTCATAGTTAAGTAACACATCAGTGTACAGATTGCAGTATGCGCACACACAAACACATGCATTCCACAGCTACTGCTGCTGTAGACCACTCAGTTTTTGAGAGCAATTTGCATTAATAAAGACTTTTACCTAAACATATGTTCAAAACTTGGCTTAGTTATATTTGTAATTAAAAATTTCATTGCAACTTTTTGAATTATTAGTCAATCAAGAAACATCAAGAGGCATATGATGCAATATATATTGGATTTACCATATATACATAGCATTAGTTTAGAAAAAAACTAAGCATATTTTTAAATTATTGTTGAGATGTGCTTTATTCAACACTCTACATGTTATTTCACATATCTAGGACTGAAGCAATCATGTGATAAAGATTGTAGAAAACCTTTCTGAAAAATGAAGTCCACTAGTTTCATTCAGGTTTCTCATTGCTGGCGTAATTGATATTATTGATACTGATATTGATCTATTAACTGTTATATTCATGTACTGTAATTGTTTTCTTATTCCCTGCCCCAATATTTAATTGGAAGAGAATGCCTGTAGAGAATTTTGACTACATTTCTCCAAAGGTTAATATTATCCATATCCAATCTTTAATAGTAATATATAAATTTCAAATCAAGCTTCACTTTTAGTTTTAGAAAACCTGTCCTCCTTTTCTTTTTAACAGGATAAGTGCACACTTTTAAATGTTGGCCTAAACTTGCTAGACTCAAATAATGTATGTACAATTATTATTTGAAGGTTATCCAAAGTATGATGATTCCTGTCCTTTTTTTTTGAAGATTCGAGACTCTTCTGATATTAAAGAGCTATAAAAAAATTGAAATGTGCACTTTGAAAGAAAATGTAATACAATCATTAGAAAAACCAAGAGATCAAATAACGTTAAACAATGTCCTGGTTTGTGCTGGGAGGGCAACATTTAATATTTTTATAGTTGTTGTATATTGGGGAAAATATTGCCAAACCTAGATGTTGAAGAAATGCCTCAGTGCTTGCTGAAATTATAGTTGAGACTTCCTTACATTTTATTATACACAGATTGTGCATTTGGCTACCATGAGCTTCCTTCAGACTCCCAAAGGCAAGTCTATTGTGCCCTCTGGGGATTCTATACTACTTTAAGTTATAAATTTATTTCATTAATATTTTTTGCTTTATCATAAAATATCACTGATTTTTTTTCTGCTTTAGGAACCAAAAACATCTTTAGTCTTCTTTATATCAGGAAGTCAAGTTTTTCCTAACATTTTACTACTCAGAATGTTTGAAGCATTTAACTGCCAGCCAATAAAGATTACATGATTATTGTTTTCATATGGACAGACTGTTCTTGTCCTTTCTTCTACCTTTTTCCAAGTTTACTATGCAACTTTATATCACCAAGCAACACCCCAAACTTTAGAGTCACTTGAAATGCTGGCTCTAAAGACCAGCTGCGGTTCCATACTTTGTTTCAATATTATAGAAAACAGGTTAAAGTCAGAATTCAGAATGCAAGATCTTTGCTGGCTCAGGTCGAAAGCATTCTGTACCTCAGTGGGCACACCACTTCCCGTAGGAAATCCACAAGCAGAACACAAAAGACATCCTCTCCTCATGTGCTGTAGTAACTGGTTCCAGGTTGTCTGTTGCCTCCATTAGAAAAGATGTGTCATTGTATCATGGGTGGTACTATCAATCCTTCAAAGTAGACCAGGTCAGGAAACACACCGCAAGAAATACTAGAACTCTATTTTACTGATGTAATAAAGGAATAATAATTGAAAGCCTGGTAACATTCATAACATCATCTTGAACT